ACTTTCAAAGTTTCCCTTCATGAGGTAGATTCTTCTACGCTGTTGGTCCACTCTGTGAAGCAACAGCGATGCACAAGTGATGGGACATTTGCAAACACTAAGTCTAATATGTTGCTGTTCCGTGTAACAACTTGGTGTAAGTTGCGATCGTCGGCAATGTTTATCATCTGCTTGCTGATCGCAGGATATCTCCCCCTGGTTTGAAGCAGTTACCGTACTTGACCAATCAACATCAGGCAAATTGAACTCTCCAGCTAGGAAAATTTGACTACTGGTAGGTAATTTTGCAATGGCAGTTTCAAGATCTGAGAGCTGCTTTTGATCTGTAGTGGCTGAGTTTTGGTGTTTTCTGTAAAAGGCTCCTATGTATAGCATGGGACGACCTACGACATGGAGGCTAGTCCACAACATTTCACAGTCTGCATCTGATGTAAGTAACTCTTCACCCCGGTGGACAATTAGATCCGAGCGGAATGCAATCAAGACGAAAGACTTGGTATGATGTGGGAAGAAACTCACTAGAATAGATCCCATCCTGTAGCCATGTTTCTGTACCAATAATTGCATCAGGTTTTTCTGTCTCAAGTAATGATCGGAACTCTACAGTATTGCTTCGTAGGCTTTGGAAGTTAATGCTCGAAACCTTTAACAAGTTGTTCGATTTGAGTAGTNCAACATTTCGCAGTCTGCATCTGATGTAAGTAACTCTTCACCCCGGTGAAACAATTAGATCCAAGCGGAATGCAATCAAGACACCACACCGGTAGTGTCAGATTCACGGCAAAAGACTTGGTATGATGTGCGAACTCACTAGAACAGATCCCATCCTGTAGCCATGTTTCTGTACCTATAATTACATCAGGTTTTTCTGTCTCAAGTAATGATTGGAACTCTGCAGTTTTGCTTCGTAGGCTTTGGGAGTTAATGTTCAAAACCTTTAACAAGTTGTTCGATTTGTTTTGACCTTTTAGGACCAAAATAGCGCCACCGTGACCGTTGACCCTCGATCGTGAAGAGGTTGGCCTCCGTTTTTTTTTCTCTGGAAAGTCACGGTTGTGGCCAGGAGATCACTTTTCGTTTGAATTGTGATTTTTGAAGAATCGAAACAACGAAATCGAGGTTATAAAAGTGCCAGGAATTGTTGAAATTCACTGTATTAAATCCCCAGGTTTACATTTACTATACACGCAGGATTCACATGAACGGTACACCGGCTCCGTCGAGAATCTCCATGTGCGTGCATGTACATGTACGTGCACATACCGGTACGGTACGCCGCCGCGGTACGTCGCGGGTAACAGGCCGCGCAGTGTACTGTGGCGGTATCGGTTTTGTTCATGAAAAACACATGTATAGATCGTGCTGCGCAGAAGTATCAAGTGTAACTCATGAAAGTCAAACAAAAAATTCTAGCTACATAGAACTGATTTTATTGTGTAATTGAGATTCCGGCTTATCGTATATAGTGTCTCCCTGTTCTGGAAAAACTTCTAAAATTGAGAAATTAAGCGGGAAAAAGAGCAAGAGATCGCTTGAAAATGGAAATAGTTTATCATCTCTATAGCAACCACTTTGAGGCCAAATTTCATATTTATGTAGCATTTCTTTTATGATTTAAACGCGGTAAGGTGAAGTTTTCCAGCAGCATATTCTGAAGAACTGTCCAAATACTGCTCACTGACAGACAACTAGCCTGCCCATTCACGACCGCCGACACACTTGACACGCTCGCCATCTTTTGTATAATTTCAATACACATAATAGGTTAGTTTCTTTCACCATGAAAACCTTTAAGTCTTAATAGGTTAATGTGTGCTGACCCCTTCGCTTATGATTGGTTGAGATTTGTGCTATCCCAACGGGGTAGCAAAACCCGAAAACATGAAGAAAATCATAAGAAGTTCCTGACAAGTTGAGAAAGGCCTCGTGGCTGCGCCACTCGTTCACGTGGTCTCCGGTCCAGCCGCTTTGCAGCTACACATGAACACAGCCACGAAGGCCTTGATGAAAGGCTAGAAAATTCCCCGTAGCTAGTTTTGAATAGGACCTGGTGGCCTATGCGTTTACAACGTCTGTGGGCCGGAACTTCCTCCATAACTTCGACCGTTCCGAGGCGGAGGGTGGAATTTGTTTTACCCGTACTGTCACACGTAGTACAGAACAGTGCGGTATGTAATCTCCTTTAAAAATTCTCTATAAAAATACAGGAAAGACTGGGCACAACTCTATTATCAACTAAAATCTGGTAACCTGACCTAGAGAAATTAACACGCACGTTATGGGGGACACAACGACAGATCGTAGCGAAACTATGCGATCTTTGGACACAACACCCAAGAAGAAGTTCCCACTGCTGCTTCTGTGATTTTCTGCTGTTGGCGTAGGCTAAGTAAATTTGAGTCTTAGGACTCTTCAGAGTGCAAAATTGTGGGAATTGGTGTAATGGTGTAACAAGTTACCCACTAGAGAAGTAAACAAACGAAGCCAGTTTGCAATATAGCCTGCCTTAGGCATATTGCAAACAAGGGTTCGTTTTCTCATGCTAGGCCTACTTACTGAGTGGGCAAATGTTGGGCCTGTAAATTAAATGGTATACTTTGCCGTTTTCCAATACTTGACTTCGGCTCCGTCTCAGGCTTAAAGTGTTTTTTCACTACCTGATTTTGAAGTTGTAAGCGCAATACCACAGAACATCATGATTAAGGATGCGAAATGGGTAAACAGTTCCTTAATTTGATTTGAATACTTCAGGCCCACATCAGAGACTGGTTTCGGAGACGAAGCATGAGACGGAGACGAAGTTGAATATTGGAAAACTGCCATATCCTCAGGCCTACTCGTCATCAATGGTATTTGCTGTCACGCCATTGCAATTGTGCATCACAAAACTCATAAACATGTCAAATGCAGATGAGTCTTAAATTGCTAATAGCTCTAAAACTTTGTTCTGCATTTCTTCTCATCTTTCTTGGCACATCCAAGGGAAGACATTCACAGTTGTAACAATGATGTCGAAATTGGCTCATTTTTGTTTTGTTACTGTAGCCGTGGCAACTCGTCTAAGCTGCCAAACTTAAGTTATGACTGAAATCCTGCTACTGTGTAATTTTAATGTGTTTTAGATGGGGTACAGTTGAGTTATATGTACGATGAAGGAGTCCCCCTAGTTCCCCATACATTTACATGTACCGTAGTTGGGTTCTCTTTTTCAGATGAGGTCAATTCTGTATTATACATGTACGTATGTGTGATGGACTCGAATATAACAGTTTAAACTGCCCAGCGGTAAATCACTTCAATCCAGAATTCCACTTTCTCAATCAAATCCTCTCCAAAAAAGTCATTTTGGCTGATATATATCTCTCTAAAAGTTAGCTGACAAGGCATACACAGACATGGCAGCAAGTGACAAAAAGGCACATCCTGGGCTCAGTCAAACCCTGATTATGAATATCTACTTTTTTCCAGATGTCATGAACAATACGGGCGATTCACAATAGCGCGCCGCCAAGAGTTTGCAACACGTTGGCCAATCATAACGCGCGAAATTTGTCGACCCTTTCCAAACGCGCATTGGGTCGACAAATTT